TTATTTTGAGTTTATTAAAAATGGGTATTGAAAAGGCCATATTCTATCACTAGTGATTAGATTAACACATAGTTAGAAGACTCAATACTGCTAAGATCTCAACTCTTATAATTACCTATAATTCACCATAATCCCCATCAAAATCTTAGCAGATAAATTATTATAAAGTTGGCATGCTGAGTCTAAAATAGCCATAGGAGCAGTAAGAATAGCTAAAATAATTTTCAATATAAGAACAAAGAAGGAAAATTCACAGAACCAAATTTCAAGACTCTGAAGTGAGTGTGCCACCGACTCTGATGCTGGAACAGAGAGAATCCTGAAACAGACCCATTCCGTAGATGGTGAACCACTTTAACAGAAGGATTGGCACCAAGTTGATTCACCAGTTTCAGGAATATAAGAAATGCAAATGATAAAAGAAAAACCTGACCAAAAAGGGCTGCCTTTTTTTTTTTTTTTTTAACATAGATGCTACTGAAATGAAACCCACAGGGTCGAAAATATCTGCCAATGAATATAAGAGCTCTTACAACACAGAAAGAGAACCCTATTTTAGAAAGGGCACATCCACCAAAGAAAGCGAGTGGCAAATAGATGAAAGATGCTCATCTTTAGCCATCAGAGGTGGCAAATACACATGCAACTATCAGATAGGACTTTAAATCTAAGGTAGTGGTTAAAATTTAAATGTAGGCCCTCCCTGGTGGCACAGCGGGTTAAAGCACAGCATTGAGGGCCCTCCCTGGTGGCGCAGCGGGTTAAAGCACAGCACTGAGAATCTAAAGCCACTTCCGCATGAGTTCGATTCCCGCCTGCCCTGGAGGTGACCACATGGCGCAGCAGACCTCTCCTGACCCGCCCGCTGCCCCCCTCAGCAGTGTACTTCGTCGATCTGCCTGTTCTGCTCCCCACTCTGTCTCTGGTGAAGCCTCTCACCGCCCCTGAGCTTCTGGCCTGTACCCCAGTTCTGTATGCACAAATAAATAAATCTTTAAAAAAAAAAAAAATTTAAATGTAAAAAAAAAAAAAAAACTTTAAAAATTAATGGAACTAAGTGGTAGCAAAACACGAAGCAAATGAGCAAATGAAGTTATCATATATTACTGGTGGAAATGTGTACAATTACTCAGAAAAACAGTTTAGCTGTTTCTTTTAAAATTAAACATATACCTCCACATGATCTGGGTATTCTACTACCAGCTATCTACCCAGGAGTAGTTAATAAAACTAATTTATAGAAAGACCTGTACATGAATGCTTGTAGCAACTTCATTCAAAATTGTCAATAAGCTAGCAATTAACATACATATCCATAAACAGGTTAACAGATAAGGAATGTATGTTTTCAGTGGAATACTACCCATTAAAGAGGATGGGATTATTAACAAACTACAAGTCTTAAAACCATTAAGTGAAAGAAGTCAGACACAAGAGTGCATACCCTATAGTTCTGTCTCTAGGACAGTCCCAAACATGGAAAACTATAGGGAAGAAATCACCACCGGGGGCTGGGGGCATGAGAAGTTTCAGCCTGACTGCAGACAGGAAAGATAACTTTGGGGAGTATAGGAATTCTCTGTATCTTGACTGTAGTGGGTTATATGATATGCATGTGTCAAAACATATCAAACTGTACATTTAAAAAGGGTGAATTTAACTGTTTGTCAATTATACTTCAATAAATCTAACCTTAAAAAGAAGTATGCAGACTTTTAAAGGTTTTTAATGTATATTGCCAAATTGCCCTTCCATTAAGTTAATTTATTCTCCTACTCGCATTTAATTTATATTCCCACTGGCATTCTACAAGTGCCTTCACCCTCATCAGCCTCAATGAGATTATTTTAGACTTTTACAATTTGATAAAATATTCTTTTAAAATATTCCCTCCTTATTATTATCTACATATCTTAGATTTTAGTGATGAATATTATTTTATCCATGTCTTTGACAGTTTTTTTTGTCTTTTGTCCATTCTTTTAAATCATCGCTTTAAGAGATTATTCTGTTCATTTTTTATTAATTGTTTTTAGATCTTGCAATAAATCCTTAAAAATTAGTCACTAATATATTCTCAGCTTCTTATTTGCATTTCATTTAA